AGAGATAGCTATTCTCACATCAGATAAAATAGACTTTAAACCAAAAACCATAAAAAGAGATTAAGAAGACCACTATATAATGATAATGGAATCTATCCAGCAAGAAGACATAACAATTATAAATATGTATTCATCCAACACCAGAGCACCCAGATATATAAAGTAAACATTATTAGACCTAAAGAAAGACACAGACCCCAATATGGTAATAGTGGGGGACCTGAATACCTCTTTCTCGACACTGGACAAATCATCCAGGAAATAAATCAACAGAGAAACACAGGATTTAAACTACACCTTAGACCAATTTGACTTGGCGGATATCTACAGAACACTTCATCCAACAACCACAGAATATACATTCTTCTCATCAGCATATGGAACATTCTCCAGGGTAGACCACATTAGGTCACAAATCAAGTCTCTACAAATTTTTTTTTTTTCCTTTTTGTCTTTTCTACTGACCGGTAATGGGATCGCAACCCTCAGTGTCGCGCCCGCACCGGGGACCAGCGACGGGATCACAACCCTCGGTGTTGCGCCTGCACCACGCTCAACCAGTGAGCGGGAACCGGTCTCCACATGGGATCCGAACCCTCGGCGGGAGCGCCGCCACGCTTCCAGGCGGCGCACTCTCCAGTGCGCCACTGGGCCGGCCCAAGTCTCTACAAATTTTTAAAAATTGAAATAATCTCAAGTATTGTTTCAGACCACAATGGGTTAAAACCAGAAATTAATAATAAGTGAAACTTAGGACTCTATACAAATACACGGAAAATAAACAACAGGCATCTGAACGACGTATTGGTCTAAGAAGAAAATACACAGGATGCCTTGGATTGAATGTCCTCCCAAAATGTAACCACCACGGTAACAGTGTTAAGAGGGCGGTAAATCTTATTATGGTAATTTGGAGGAGGGTGCTTGAAGAGGTGATTAGATTGTACGACTATGCCACAGTGAATGGATCAAAAATGGTGGTCATGGGCATAGGTTGGAGGGTTTTTCAAGGAGAGGGAATGAGGACAGTAAATGAGTCTGCTTCCACCATCTTACAATAGTGCATAACTGCCACCTCTACCAGATGCGTTCTATAGACTTTGGACTTCTGAGCATCCAAAACTGTAAGCAATAAATTTCATTTTCTTATAAATCACCCAGTTTCCAGTATTTTGTTATAAGCAACAGAAACAGACTAATACACAGGGAATCAAAAATTTCTTGAAACCAACAAAAATAAAGATACATATCAAAACCTGTGGGATGCTGCAAAAGCAGTACTAAAAGGGAAGTGCAATAAATGCTTACATCAAAAAAGAAAAAGAAAAATTCAAATAAACAACTTAATGCTACACATTAAAGAACTAGAAAAACAAGAACAATCCAATCCCAAAATTAATAGATAAAAAAAAGATCAGAGCAGAACTAAATGAAATAAAACCCCCCAAAGATACAAAAGATCACTGAAACGAAGAGTTGTTTTTTTGAGAAGACACACAAAATAGACAAACCATTATCTTGATTAACAAAAAAGGAAGAGAGAAGACCCAAATAACAAAAATCAGAAATGAAAAAGGTGACATTATTGATACCATGGAAATATAAAGAATCACTAGAGACTATTACAACTATATGCCAAAAAAATTCAAAATCTGGAAGAAATGAGTACATTTCCAAAAACATACAAACTATCAGGACGGAAGTAAGAAGAAATAGAAAACTTGAACATACCAATAATAAGCAGTGAATTTGGAGCAATAATCATCAGTCTCCCAACAAATAAAAGCCTAGGACTGAATGGCTTCACTGCTGAATTCTACCAAACCTTAAAGAGGCATTAATGCCAATTCTCTTTGAACTATTCCAAAAAATTGAAACAGAGGTCACTCCCAAATTCATTCTATGAGGCCATCACCACCTTCATACCAAAACAAAACAAAGATACAAAAGAAAAAGAAAAAAGAAAACTGCAGGCCAATATCTCTGATGAACATAGATGCAAATATCCTCACAATATTACCAATCAGAACACAGCAACACATTAAAAAACGTATACACCATGATCAAGTAGGATTCATCGTAGGGAGGCAATGATGGTTCAACATATGGATGTCAATAAATGTGATACACCACACCAACAAAACCAAGAACAAAAACCATATGATTATTTCAATAGATGCAGAAAAAGCTTTCAACAAAATTCAACATTACTTTATGATAAAGGCTCTCAGCAATTAGATATAGAAGGAAAGCATTTCAACACAATAAAAGCCATATGTGACAAACCCACTGCCAACATCATCCTGAGTGGAACAGAAACAAGACAACGATGCCTATGATCACTACTCCTATTTAACATAGACTTAGAAGTACTAGCCAGAGAACTCAGGCAAGAGAAAGAAATAAAGGGTGCTCAGATTAGAAAAGAAAAAGTCAAATTATCCTGTTTGCAGATGACATGATCCTATTTATAGAAAAACCTAAAGATTCTACCAAAAAACTCTTACAGGTCATTAATAATTTCAGCAATGTTGCAGAATACAAAACCAACACCTAAAAATCAGTAGCATTTTAATTCTCCAATAATGAACTAGTAGAAAAAGAAATCGAGAACGTAAGCCCATTTACAATAGTCACCGAAACCAAAAACCAAAAAAATCTAGGAATCAATTTAACCAAGGAGGTGAAATAACTCTGCAAAGAGAACTAAAAATAACTACTGAAAGAAATTAAAGACAAAAAAAAAAAAAAAAAAGGAATACATTCCATGCTCTTGCAGTGGAAGGATCAATATAGTGAAAATATCCTTACCACCCAAAGCAATCTACAGATTCAATGCAATCCCCACCAATATTCCAATGACATTCTTCACAGAAATATGAAAAACAATCCTAAAATTCATACGGAGCAACAAAAGATCCCAAATAGCCAAACCAATTCTAAAGGTAGAAGTGTCACTAATTTTCAAATAATATAATTATTCAAATAAAAGACACCAAATAACTGAGAACTATTAGAACTAATTTAAAATGTTTTAATCTCCTCAACTTCTATATACAAAAGAAAAACTTGTCCCATTTATAAAATAGCAAGGATAAGTTTCAGATGTTAAGAATGAGTGCAATGTAGTATGGGTAAGCCCTATATGCATTTTAAATAATTTTCTAAGGAACATGAAAGTATAGTCTGAATAAATAGAGATAAGTATAGTGTCCCTAGAGTACGTCACAATATTGGTAAAGATGTTAATTCTCCCAACCTACGCAATAAAATTTAAAATGAGAAATATAAATAATGGGTACAAAAAGGTAGATTAGAAGAGATGTTACAAATATTTAGAAAACAAAAGAGTACTATCTATAATATATAAAGAATTATAAATCAGTAAGAAGAAGACAAACTAACAGGAATAGTATGTACAGAGAAGCAATTATCTGAAAAAATACAAGAAATAAGAAGATAAAGTTTAAAGACTTAGTTTAAATTCTGGCTGATCCATCTAGTAGTTGTGTTTGAAAAATTTACTTCTCCTCCATGAGCCTCTATTTTCTTTGCCAGTTGTAATCAGAGTGCTGTTTATTTGCCATGTTAAAAATAAAGCTATTCCTTTTCTGAGCAAGCCAGATGAGCCTGTTTCCATGTCACCTTGCTCTCTGTGAATGTCCTTGGAATCTTAGTTATTTTCTTTCTACCAGAAATTTATTTGTTCCTACCTACAGGCATTATTAAACCCTTTTAAGAACCTCTGCTACTCATTACTTTGCACAACCAATATTAGGCTGTGGTCAGTTCTTCCTGAAAGAAAATATATTTTAAAAATGGGGAAAAAAACCTGATCTCCAGGGAGAAAAAAATAAAGTAAATGTACAGACATAAGAACCATAACTAAGGGAAGTGATGCAGAGGAGAAACAGAAATTTTAAAGGGTTGCTTTTGTTTCTGGTCACTTCCTACTTTGGAAATCCAGCTGTAATTCCTGTTCTTAGATGCTATTAGATAACCTTGTATACTTTCAAACTTTCCCTTTATACCAAAGCTAATGGAATTTCTGTTATAACTGTCATATAATTTCTATTACAACTGTAATATAACTGTATATAACTATGTATAGTTCATCTTTTCCTGACTGAGACATCTGGTCCATAGCAACTAACCACTACCTTGTTTCTATGAAAACAGGAAGTTATGTTTCAATTCACCTACGAAAACTTAGTGTTCTTAAACTAACATTACCTGCACTTGAGAGAAAGGAATTATGCTTCCAAATATATTGCTTCACCAAAAACTTACTTGTGGCAAAAAATCAAAACTATATGAATAGCTTCCCTTTCCAGTTTCTTGTAAACATCATAAAATGAACAATGAATCCAAATAAATTACCAATTAAAGTTCTCTTAATAAAGAATTGCATTAGTCAACATCTACCTACTTATTTATAAAAGGGAAGGAAATTTTTTAATGCAGTAGTAGAGTTTGAAAGTACATGACTCCGGGCCAGCCCGGTGGTGCACTCGGTAGAGTGCGGCGCTTGGGAGCGTGGCGGCGCTCCCGCGGAGGGTTCGGATCCCATATAGAGACTGGTCGCGGTGCAGGCGCGACACCGAAGGTTGCGATCCTGTTACCGGTCGCGAAAAAAGACAAAAAGGAAAAAAAAAAAAAAAAAGAAAGTACATGACTCCACAGATGTAAATAGTTTGAATGTGTTATAAATTAAGCTTTATGCATAAAATTCAAATTATAAATAAGATAAAAGTAAATATATTTTATAAAATTATTTTGGGATTCATTTAAATGGAAATCTATTCAAGTGCTCTAGAAAAAATTATATTATAGACTATAATTTTGTTAAAGCTATATTCAAAGCCTTCATGGTAAATAGCTACTTTTTGAAAAACAGCAAGTATCTTCCAAAAACATCAATTAAACTCTTGATATTAAAACTCCCAAATTAATAGAATTCCTAAAAATAAATAAAACTATATCAAACTGGCAGTACTTGCCTCTTTTTCAGCTTCTTTAAATGTTGTTTCTTTCTCCTTTACTCTCTGCATAAATCTCTGTTTCAACTCTTCTTCTTCCCTTTGACATTGATCATAGAACTCTTGTCTTTTGGCTTCATAGATCTCTTGAAAACTAAAATAAAAATTTTAATTACTCTCATGTTAAAATGCTGATATAAATAAACATATAAATGTATATATTGTTCATTAGGTTCTACATGAGGACATTTACCAATAGTCCCCCACATATAGATAGCAACACAAAATAAAAATTTCTGTATCATGAGATGTAAAAATTTAATTTACAATCACAATATTTAATATGTGAGCATGTAAAGAATACTAGAATTTTCTTATTTCTGCCACTTTCCAATATAACATACTTCTTTAAATCTTTTGAATATCATGAGATGTAAAAATTTAATTTACAATCACAATATTTAATATGTGAGCATGTAAAGAACACTAGAATTTTCTTATTTCTGCCACTTTCCAATATAACATACTTCTTTAAATCTTTTGAAAGTAAAATTTGGCAAAACCTCTAAAATATGAGACTATTTTCAAAACAGTTAATATAAATCTAGGCATTTTTCAAAATATTATTCATGTAAGATAGTTCAGTTTGGGTTGTCTTCAAAGAAACATAAATGATATAACTGGTTTTATACTACATTGTCATACTTTTGCAGCACAAATCCTATTCCACTTCAGTATAGCTAAATACACCTGTTCCCAAACTTTTTTCACTTGACTTCCTGGACATTTTGCTGCTGCTTCTCAACTCTTTCCTCCATCAAATCCTTCTCAATATCCTATGCCAAAGAAGGTAGGGGAGAAAGTTAGAGACTGGCTAATGGATACAAAATTACAGCTAGATAGAAAAAATAACTTCTATTAGTGTACAGTCGACCCAGGAATCCATAATTAACAAAGATTTCCTCCATGTTGTCAAATGACTAGAAGACAGATCAAATGTTCACATCACAAAGAAATGACTAAGTTTTGCAATGATGAATATGTGATTACCCTGATTAGATCAGCACACATTGTATACATTAAAATATAAATCCGTAAACTATAAATATGTATAATCAATATATTTCAATTAAAAACTTCGTAATGTCCTTTGTCAATTTTTCTCAGTCTTTGCTAATATTTGCCTACCTCCTTCCTGAGCTTACATTTCATATAATTATATACAAAAATTAAAGCAAAATAATTGGTTTTTTTTCTTGGACACACATTTCAGCATATAAACATATTGGATACACATATTTCTGCATATAAATGAGACCTTGCATTATGTTTTTCCTACTATCTCCATCTAAGTCTGAAGATAAGTAATAAACCTAAAACTCAGGATCACCCAAGATGAGAGAAGTACAATTATTCTAATTCCCAAATAATTGAATCTTGTGTTTTAGGGGATTTCTAAATTATCCATTTGGTTGTGTTAGCAACATCTCTACCCACCTAACTGGCTGGTTGTCTGGGCCCACATCTGTAAAGCCCATTTTCTGAAGTTTGCAGCATCGATAACGTTCATATTGCTGACTGTGAGTTTGTTCTTTCAGGTTTTCCATATTGGTATAAAGAAGCATATTCCGGAGTTTAACAAAGTCAGAGTGATTTTCATTTTCCACTAGTCAGAAAAAAATGATAAATCCACAACATTCATTATCACTCCCTGACAATTAACATGTATTTATGAATAAATGCATGGATAAAAAATAAATTTAAAATAACAAAGTGATCAATCTCATTAATAGCTGTAATTCTTTTAACCACAGAACTGTGGTTGTACTATACATATCAATTATCAACAGAGTTTAACCAACCGGTCAGCAAATCTGCTTTAAATTTGTTACCTAAAGAATAAATTTAAAATATTTAGGTAACAATTTATATGAGTATATGGTATAGGCTTTTATTAATAATTGTGTTAGTATTTTACAAACTACTCAAGGTATTTCACAGAGTGCTAACAGGATTTGTAATATAACTTTGCTAAACAACTTTATTGAAGTAAATTCTGCTAACAAAAAGGCCTTAAAATTGTGCATTCTTTAGTTATCAAATTCTGTTTATATAACACATTTATGAGACTTCATTAGTCAATATTCAAAATCAATCAATAAGTTTACATGGCTGATTTAAGGATAAACATAGACTGAAAGTGAAGGGATGGAAAAGATATTCCATGAAAGTGAAAGTCAAGAGACCTGGTAGGAATTCTTCTATCAGATAAAATAGACTTTAAGTCAAAGAAATGTAAGTACAATTATTCTCCTTCCTAAATGATTGTATCTTGTGTTTTTAGAGGATTTCTAAATTATCCATTAGGTTGTCCTAGCAATATCTCCACTCATGTAACTAAAGTAGGTCATCATATAATGATAAAGAGGTCAGTTCATCAAAAGGATATAACAATTGTAAGTATATATGCACCTAACATTGAAACACCTAAATATATAAAGCAAATATTGATAGATCTGAAGGGAGAGATAGACTATAATAATAGGGAACTTTGTAACCTCACTTTCAAAAATGGACAGATCATCAAAATGTAAAATCAGTAAGAAAACATTAGACTTAAACTACACTTTAAACCAAATAGACCTAACAGATATATACAGAACATTCCATCCAATAGCAACAGAATACATATTATTATTAAGCACACACAGAAACTCTCCAGGATACATCATAGGCCACAAAATAACTCTTAGAAAATTTAAAACAATTGAAGTGAACATTTTCATGCAGATATCTCTTTGATTTATTGATTTAAATTCATTTGGATATAAACCTGGAAGTGGAATGTCTGTTCTATTTTTAGTTTTTTTGAGGAAACTTCATAATATTTTCTGAAATAGCTGTACTAATTTTCATTTTCACCAATACTGCATAAGTGTTCCCTTTTCTTCATGTCCTTATCAATACTTGTTATCATTTGTTTTATTGATAGCCATTCTAACAGTCATGAGGTGATATATTATTGTGGTTTTAATTTGCATTTCCCTGATATTGATCATTTTCTAATATATATCTGTTGGCTATTCATATCTCTTCTTTTGCAAAATGACTGTACAGATTCTTTCCCCACTTTTTAATAATTTTTTTCTTGCTCGAATTGTTTAAGTAAACAGCAAGAATATTATATATTTTGGATATTAGCCTTCTAACAGATGGATGATTTGCACATATTTTCTCCCAATACATTAATTTTCTCTTCACTCTATTAACTGTTTTCTTTGCCATGCAGAAGTTTCTTAGTTTAATCCAATCTCATCTGTTTCTTTTTGTTTTTCTTGCCTGTGCTTTTGAAAATCTGTCCAAGAAATCATTGCCAAGACCAATGTCGTGAATATTTTCCTCCATGTTTTCTTTTAATAGGTTTAAAGTTTCAGGTTTTGGGTTTAAGCTCTTTATCCATTTTGAGTTGGTTTTTGTATATAGTGTGAGATAAGTCTATTTTTATTCTTCTCCATATGGATATTTAGTTTTCCCAAGATCATCCATTGAACAGACTGTTCATTCCTCATGGTGTGCTTGTGGCACCTTTGTTGAGGGTCAATTGATCATAACTACTTGGGCTTATTTATGGGCTTTCTATCCTATTCCATTGGTTGATGTGTTTGTTTTATGCCAGTACCATGCTGTCCTGAATACAATAACTTTATAATATAATTTTAAATCAAGCAGTGTGATTCCTCAATCTTTGTTCTTTTTTCTTGAGATTACTTTAGGTATTTGGTGTCTTTACTGGTTCCATATAAATTTTAGGGTTTTTAAAATTTTTGTTGAAAATGACATTGGAATTCTGATAGAAATGCCATGGAATCTGTAAATCACTTTGGGTAGTATGGGCATTTTTAATAACATTAATTTTTCCAGTTGATGAACAGGGGGTATCTTTCCATTTGTTTGTGTCATCTTTGATTTTTTTTATCAATATTTTATAGTTTTCAGTATATAGATCTTTCATCCGCTTGGTTAAATTTACTCCTAATTATTTTATTTTTTCAGCATTAATCATAATAGTCAAGATATGTAAGCAACCTAAGTGTCCATCAATGAATGAAAGGATAAAGAAAATGTGATGTATATACACAATGAGATACTACACAGCCTTAGAAGAATGTTTGTCATTTGCAACAACATAGATGGAACTGAAGGATATTATGCTAAGTAAAATAAGCTAGGTACAGAAAGACAAACTCTATATGACCTCACTTTATATGTGAAATTTTAGAAAGTCAATTTCATAGAGAGAGTAGAAAGTTGGTTACTAGAGAATGGAGAGAAAGGGAAAGGATTTGTTGATCAAATGGTATAAAGTATCAGTTAGAATGGAAGCCTAAATTTTATTTATCTATTGCACTTCATGATGACCACATTTAAAGATAACGTATTTTATATTTCAAATTTGATAAAATAGATTGTTAACATTCTCACCACACAAAAATATTTTGTTAGATAATAGATATGTTAATTAGCCTGATTGAATCTTTCTATAATGTACACAAAAAAATATATCATACTCCATAAATATAGACAAGTATTATGTCATTTAAAAAATTTAAAAGCTTATGAAGGTTAAAATTGTAACAAGTATCTTTTATAATCAGAATGATAAGAAAATAGAGAGGCACCCAGGGTGCTTTCTCCCCCACAGAAAAGGACCAGCACAACTAAGAGACAGCTAAATATTGATGGGAGCATCAGTGGGAGAACACAGGGGTGCGGCAGGAGACTAGTGAGATCCCTGTGGATTATGAATGCTCAGTATGACAGCACACCTGCTTAGCAGTCTTGTGAACAGTCCAAGCAGTCAGACATGCCCCCTCAGTACAGGCCTGGCTAGAAGCCCCACCCATTATCCAAGAAGCAGGTGGACAGGCCGCCTCACTGCAGCCCCCCCAGTGGCATCACCCACTTCCTGAGAAGTGGCACAGTAACTCTGACCTTGGCAGATCAGCTCCTGAACCACTAAGGGAAGCATGAACTTGCCTCAGGCCCCAAGAAATGGCATGGCAGAAAGGTCACTGGCAGACCTACACTCAGCTAGCTGAGCCAAAGTGCACCCACATCCCTGGCTCAGAGAAACAGATCAGCTGTCATACCTCTGGAAGACCTGTTCCCGAGTCTTTCAGCCATCACATGCACATGAACCCAAGTGAGAAACAGCTTGGCTAAAGTGCCTCTGGTGGACCGATCTGAGATCAGAGAAGAAGCACAGTGACCTGGCAACTGGCAAACCAGTTCCAGACACCCTGACATGCCATACACCCACACCCAAGCCTGAGAATCAATCTGGCATCCAGTGAGCCAGCTCCCAAGATGACTGACCAACAAGGTGAATGTGCACATCCCTGGCCTGTGAACCAACCCAGCAATCTCTCCCCCATCCACCATGACAAACCTCACAAGTGTAGGTCACTGAGTCACTCATAGACATAGGGAAAGCGGATTACACCTGAAGAAACTATACAGAGTCTACACTATTGCATCTATCTGGAACAAAGTCATTGCACTCTACCCAGTCAAGACCCTAGGACACATTTGTGGGTAAAAGTCTTTTCCCATGAAAGCCACTAAACAAAACTCAAAGAGGTAACTATTCCACTAGAAGCACAGGTATCACAACAGGGAAAGAAGAAACGTGAAAAAACAAGGTAACATGACCCAACCAAAAAAATATATAAACAGAAAACCAAAACAAAATAATACTCCAGTAACTGATCCCAAGGAATCAGAAATTGCCAACTTTCTAGAAAAAGAATTCAAATTAGTGACCTTAAAAAACTGAGATACAAGGGCCGGCCCGGTGGCGCACTGGAGAGTGCGCCGCTTGGGAGTGCGGCGGCACTCCTGCTGAGGGTTCAGATCCCATGTGGAGACCGGTTCCCGCTCACTGGCTGAGCGCAGTGTGGGTGCAACACCGAGGGTTGCGATCCCGTTACTGGTCAGTAAAAAAAAAAAAGACAAAAAAAGAGGAAAAAAAAAACAAAACAAAAACTGAGATACAAGAAGATATAGACAAACATTTCAATGAAATTAGAAAACCAATTCACAATCTAAGTGAGAAATTCAACAAAAAGATAGATATCATTTAAAAAATCAAACAGAAATCTTGGAATTGGGGCTGGCCTGGTGGCGCACTGCTACAGTGCGCCGCTTGGGAAGTGCGGCGGCGCTCCTGCTGAGGGTTCGGATCCCACATACAGACCGACCGCTCACTGGCTGAGGGTTGCGATCCCGTTGCCGGTCCCGGTCCGGTATGGGCGCGACACTGAGGGTTGCGATCCGTTGCCGGTCACGAAAAAAGACAAAAAGGGGAAAAAAAAAAAAAAGAAATCTTGGAATTGAAGAATTTAGTGAAGGACATAAAAAATACTTCTTGGAGTCTCAATAACAGACTAGATCAAGTATAAGAAAGAATTTCTGACCTTGAACATAGCAGTTTGGGAATAACACAGAAAAACAAAAAAGAAAAAAAATTAAAAAGAATGAACAGGACTATCATCCCAGAGGCAGGGCAAGATAGCAGACTAGAGGAACTCAACATATAATCCTCCCACAAAAAGGGACTAGAGAAAGGAAAGGACAGCTAAGTACAGGGGAGAACATTGGTGGGAG